CATCGTCCAATCAGAACGACTACCACGCACCTTATCATCCAATCAGAACGACAACCACGCACCTTATCGTCCAATCCCAGCTTCTCTCTTAGTCGCTTCAGCTTCTGATCGACGTCGTGCAGATGCGCCTGTAAGTCTGCTTTCTCCTCCACCAGGAGGCGCCCCTGCGTCTGCACGATCTTGTTCTTTCGGCGCAACTCGCTACATATCTGCGAGACTCTGTCCATTTGTGACCTCATCTGCAAGAAGACATCATCATTCACATATCACGCCAGCTGGACGATTAACTTCAGATACAATAATGTAGCCCAGGAGTATGGTGGGTCGCTTTACTCTCGTGTTGGATTAAATTATTCAAAAGGCTTTCAATGCCGCAATATCAGTAGAAACTTCAATGGAGAAGACCAACAGCACTACATCTTCTTATCAATGCAAATGACTCAGATGAGCTCGACTTTCTAACATAGAACGCATACGTTATGAAACTTAATCGGCGTTTTGAGTGCAAGTCACTCGCTAATAACGTTAATCGACAATTATCGAAAATTATTACGCTTTTTGGGGCTAAGTCTACAGAAATAGTTTCCCTACGCTTTCTGATTGTTGAGTAATCTGTTTTTGCTCTAGAAATGGCATAACAGCCGGGCAGTGCCGAGCGAAAATCTGAATCATCCTCAGAGTGCCGTGACGCACAAACAATAACAACCTGGGCTAAACTCCGAAAAGTAAAAAATTCCGAGGTGGCTACCGTACTCGTACATGCGTTTATTTTTTAGTCGTTTTTTGAATAACTCTACCCCAGAGGATTTACTATAGGCTGAAGGTTAGGTTTCACAGGAATGACTAGGCCCCGATGATTACGGTCTGTAATCATGGCAACTAACGACAAAGCCGCAGTACATCGTTGCCACGGCGCACAGGTTTTATCGCCAACGAATGCCCGCAAGCAGCCGCTCGTTAGCGGAAGCTGTCTAACGAAGATTAGCCGATCGACACCGAGTAGTCGGTCAATCACAGTTCGTGCTGTACGGTGGTTTGAAATGCTGGTTACGGTGTGGCTCCGTACTACAGTGGAGGGCATAGCACAGTTAGGGTTAGGGTTAAGGTTAGGGTGAGGGGGTAGGGGTCTTAGGTTAGGGTTAGAGGCTCAGGGATTAATGGGGTAGGTCTTAAGGATTAAGGTTTTTAGGGCAGTTATGGGTAGTGAGTAGAGTTAGGGTTGTGGTTAGAGGGTAGGGATTGAGGTAGGGTAGGGTTAGGGGATACGGTTTAGGGTTAGGGATAGGGTTAAGGGTTAGGTTAGGTGTTAGTGTTTAGGGTTAAGGATTAGGTTAGGGTAGTGTTTAGGTAAGCGATAGAGGTGGAAACGTCGGGTAACAGTCGTAGCTCTAACCCCTTATACTAAAACCCTGTGCGTATTCTCGACGGGCCAGCGGGCGATGCATAAAAATTACACACTGCATATTTGTGCGCTCCGGCGGGAGAATAATCAGTGACTTACTGGAGGCAATGGGGTCGTTTGTATGCGGAGGAGACGAGCTGCCGGGCCAAAAGCGGCAGACGACCCAATTTGTGAGAACACGGAAACTATAACGATTTACGGAACAACGTGACAGCAAGAATCTATACTCCAGCGCATCGAGTTAATATCAATATTATAAACTTATATAATATATATTATAGAGAGAGAGAGAGAGAGAAAGTAGAGAGAGAGAGAGAGGCGGAGAAGAGAGAGGAGAAGAGAGAGCGAGCAACGAGAGAGAGACGAGAGAGCAAGCAAGTGAGAGAGAAAAAAGAGCGAAGAGAGGATGAGAGAGAGAGAGAGCGACGCGTAGAGAGCGAGGAGAGCGAGCGAGAGAAGCGAGCAAGAGAGAGAGAGCAGCAGCGATGAAGAGGAAGAGAGAGGCCGAGAGAGAGAGAGCGAAGCAAGAGAGAAGAGAAGAGCGACGCGAGCAGGAGAGAGAGAGAGAGAGAGATGAGAGATCGAGAGAGAGAGAGAGAGAGGCGAGCGAGCGAGCGAGAGAGGGCGCAGCGAGAGAGAGCGAGAGAGGTGAAAGCGAGAAGAGAGCGAGAGAGCGAGCGACGCGATGAGAAGGAGAGAGAGAGAGAGAGAGAGAGAGAGAGAGAGAGAGAGAGAGATGAGAGAGAGGAAGAGAGAGAGAGAGAGAGAGAGAGAGAAGAAGAGAGAGAGAGAGAGAGAGTGAGAGAGAGAGAGAGAGAGAGAGAAAGAGAGAGAGAGAGAGAA